ACAAATCCCATTTTTAGCTTTAAAAAAAAAAAAAAAAAAAAAAAGGGTGATCAAATCTAGAAAAACTATGATCTATGCAGTTTGCCAGAATTCAAGAAAACCCTGCATTAGCGTACAGGACACGCGCAGGACGCCTGTCCCACTCAGAGGGCCGTCAGCGTGAGGACCCCAGGGCCAGAGCAGCCAGACAAATCTGCTTCCTTCTGTGAAGCAGTGGCAGGCCTGTCGCAGGCCTGTGCTCTGGAGCGAAAGGCCAACAAGCAAGTGACCACAAAGCACCGTCAAATCAAACTGAGCAGCAGCTGTCTGGACCCGGAGGTCAGGACCACCTGTCCGGGAGCGCCATCCAACCAAAATCACCTGAAGAAAGAATCACAAATCAACCACAATCTTATTTTACTTATGTTAAATGCTAAATAATTCCCATATACAAAAAGTCACGTCACATTCTTTAAAAGTTACATTCTTCCTATTATTTTAGGGCTCAAACTTCTTTAATTAATGTTTAAAGATTGGAAAACGAGAAGGTAAGCGTTATAACCATGTGAAGAACACGCCAGTAAGGAGGAGACCTGGGAATGGTGACACATGGAGAATGTTGCCAGGCTGTGTTGTGTCTAAGACACTTATCAGCTGAAGCCCAGCTGGTTGGCAGAGATAAGAGCAGGAGGAGAGAAAGGCCAGGAGACACACAGCAGAATTACGGCCCCGAGGAAGTAGAGTTAAAGCAAGGCTACACCCACTACCTTAGTGCTGCTGGGCCCAGTGGTAGGCTAATAGAGTTAAATGGTGGTACACTGCCTTCATACTTATGTTACCGACTACATAAATATTGTATTTCGACTGCAGCTCTGATAAGCATATTCAAGCAGACCAACAGAAATTCAGATTTAAAATAGCCGAGAATAGGAGACATTGTTTAGGACTTAACAGATTTGTTGTTCCGAGTGTCTGTTTTCTGAAAGCAGCCTCCCCCTGCAGCTTTGAGGGGAGTGAATGAGGCATGGTTGTATTCCTGGTTTACCCAAACTTACATTCACCATTAACAGGTGCCCAGGCCAAACCAGTTACCCTGGTACTCTGATCTGATCCTGACAGTTTCACTCAGAATAACATTCAATGCTACATGAGACTAAAATCTTGCTGAGATTTACTGGGCTTATTAATCTTTGAAACCCTAAAGGCACATTTTCTACTGGAGCTCTGAGATTATATACTAAAAATTAACTTGATTTAAGAAACTATTAACAGCTATTAACATGCAATAATGTATTACATTAAATGTGGTGTTACAGGAAAAAGATTGTTATTCAAATATTTCACATCGTTGCACATCACCTGAACAGACAGGAAAAAGTAGTTATTGACATTGAAATAGTAATAGTGCCCTCTGCTGCTCAACAGTTATATCACAGTCAAGGCAAGAAAAACTACAGAAAGAGCAGCCTGACTACCCAAAAGCAGCACATTTCCAGGTATACCCGAAGGTGGAAACTGGTTTAAAATATGGCAAGAGGTTGAGAAATTATTTATATGCAATAGTGTTTTAATCAGTGAGGCATTTTACGAGTACAGACTGAGTAAAATGGACACATGTATTACCCATTTCCTCTGCAGACGCAGGCAGGAGGTAGCTGACGAGGTGCTCAGTCAGGGTAAGGGCGGTGTCGGCCCCTTCCCCAGCTAGCCGCACGGGGGCACTGTTCAGCACGTAATCCACCCCGCCACTCACGGCGCTCCAGGTCAGCTGGTAGCCGCTGGAGGCGACGCCCAAGGCCTTGTCTGAGGTACTGGCGAAGGGCCTGGAGATACCCTCACGGGCAGACTGCACAGTGGAGGTCACCATCTCCGCGATTCCGGCGGCCAGCTGAGAGACGTGAGGGAGGGGCATCGAGTCACCACAGTGCAGACCCCCCACCCCAAAGCAGGACAGAGAAACAGTTACATGTGGTGTTTCACAGGACAATAAATAAAAGGTTCAGAGTAAAATTAAGACAACAGACAGAATTAAAGCGGCAGTGAAAAAAAGACAGACACAATAAAGTGTGTGGGAGTGCAGATAAGAGCGCCCCCTACCTTATCGGGGGGGTACTGCAGAGCTGGGATCCTCTCCTCCAGCCGATCGAGCCCTTTGCAGGCCAGGACATCGACAGCTGAAACTGAGATGATGACCAACACGCCATCAGAGAACATCCTGAAGAACATACAGACATCACCTCTGGGAGGCCGGGCTATAGAGACTCACCAGGGGAGCGTTTCCAAAAACCATCGCTGGAGCTTTTGGGAAACGTACCCCAGAACCTTAACGAACACAGCAAGCGTCTTACTGTGCAAGGTGCAGAGAGCTCAGCATCCTCACCCCAGGACCAGCCCTAAAATCCTGAGGAGCGTGGTGTCATGGACAAGGACACTAGGCGTCTACAAAGCTAGGACTAGCACCATCAAGGGACGGAAAACACGCATCCACCAGCAGGCTTGTGTTCAATGAAAGACCCCGACCCCCCCGTGACATAAATGCTGCAGCTGAGGTCTGGCAGTCACCCTCTCCTCACTGATTACACAGAAATTAAGCAGCTATTCATAATTCTTAACCTTTAGTTCAGTCCCGAATTGTGAAACCTGTGATTCACAATCGCAAGGTTTCCACACATCACCCAGAATTGGACGCCAAAGTGTTCTGGTGGCCAGAGAAGCATTTCGCAATGTCCAGCAATGACCTAATCTGCAGCAAAGTTCACGGGAACGTTTCTCGGCCTTAGATCAGTCTCCTGTGTTTACCGTGCTGATGTGAGGAGGGTACAGATCACCCAGAACGAAGCAGTAATGTGGTAACTCGTCTGTGGTAACTTACAATTAAAGCATCTCCATTGTATTTGGAAGATAATGAAATAAAAACATCCTCAGTCGACGGGCAAGTCGAATCACTAATGTTTTTCCTAAAACACCCAGCATCGGCATTAGTGATTTCACTGCTCTGCACATCAACCCCTGCTGCCAACCCCAGGGTCCTGAAGCCACTATGAAGTGAGAGGAACCTTTTCATCTCCTGCATCACACACTGTAACCCACTAAGTATTTAATGAGACACTGCAGCCTGCATTGAGGTGTCAATGTGCAGTCTGGGGCTTCGCTATGAATATGAGACAAGAATGGCCATTTAATACATAATGCAATTCACAACTTATTATTGTGGTGTTATTGTTATAGTAGAGGAAGAATAACCACTGTTAACCTAGAATGCTGCGGATGACCTGAGTGAGACTCAAAGCCCTGCGTTCCTGAGGCCAAGTTTGAGACCGTAGCTACGACCCTTATACGCGCGACTCACTGTGCGTCTCCAGCCTGTGGATGGCCGGCTGGATGGTCCACACGGCCAGGCTGCCAGCCTTTCTGGCCCCGCGCTCGTAGACCCCGCAGACGGTGCAGATGAGCGGGTGCGTCTGCTTTGTGCTGCTGTAGGTCTCCTGCAGGACCTGGCGGGTGGCGCTGACCATGGGCAGCTGAAGGAGGCGGACAAGCACGCCACCCTGCGGCTTCCAGGAGCGTCGGGGCGACAAACGCCACCCGTGAGAACGGATTATTATTATTGACAGCGATAACATCAATAATGATAATCGATTACTGTCAATTTTTATTATTAATCCTAATATTAAAATTAATTACCGCTACAAATATATGTAACACAGAAGTACAAAACAAGCAGGACATTGCGAACTATGAATACAGAATTAATAAAGATAATTTTAACGATCACCAAGTCTGTACCTGGGTGGAGTCTTCTGGCCCAGGTGCCATACTTCAATTAATCTACAAATAAAACCGTCGGAACATAGTCAATATTAAGACACTTTGCCTTGTTTATTAAAAACAAACGAGAGACCCATCGGCAAAATGAAAATCGACTCAGATGCACCGACACATCGTCGGCAAACCTACGCAGCCTCTATTTCAATGGCATTACTTAAGGCAAGAAAAGTATAGTTTCCCATTTAACAAAAAATCATTATACTAAATTTTATATTGCCCTATTTGCTTGTTTTGCCTTAAAAAGTTAATGAGTCTTTACCTTTTTAAAATAAATAATTAAATTAATTAGTGACGTGAACACCTTCAGCACAATATCATGTAATTGAAAGAAAATATAGTCTGAAAGAACAGTAATCAGTTCCTGTGTAAATGAGCAAAGCGGTACAGTAAAACGCATGCGGGAATCACTCGGTGAAACTTTAAAAATGTTATATAACTCATCACTCACCTTTCACCTGAACCTCAGCAGAATGCAGCACGCCTGATTCTTAATTGAGAGAAGATCGGACCGTAAAATCACATTTTTGCACCCCGCCCCTCGACTCCACCCTTAAACCACGCCAGGCTGCACCGGCCCCGCCCACCCGCGCGGTGGTAGTCACGTCCAGCCGGCCGCGATCGCCCACAGGGAAACGTCTGTTATGTTACCTTAGAAACCGACAGTGTTTCCATCATAAAGGAATAAGCATTTTAGTACAGAGCCAATGTGATTGATGTTACTGTAATTGACATTATTTCCCTTGATGTCGCGCGGAGTTCAAAGCTGCTTAACAGATTACTTGTAAAACACAAGAGGGCAGAATGTCCTTTCATCAGAGAAGGTGGTGCAGACACTTAATGAATCCTGGGAACCATCACAATTTTTCAGAACTACAGGTTGTCGTCGACTTACGACATATGCAGCTTACAACTGATCGACTTCACGACGTTCCGAGACCGCAGATATGCGGCCACGACTGCGCCACGTCTGGGAGCGCCAGTGCTGCCCGGAGTGTATGACAGTGTCCGCCCCACCTGCCGGCAGCAATGAACTAAGGAAATGGTGATAAAATGATAAAAACAATGCGACTTACAGATGATGTAACTTTATTATACAGTATACTATAAATATGATCGGGGTGCAAATAAGTAGTGCACGCTGTATGACATAACATGACATATATTCGCGCTGTTATGACAAGAAATCACTGTGCATTTTATCCATTATGTGGCTAAATTGTACTTGTTTCGCGGTTTAAAGGCTAAAATGCACAGTGATTTCTTGTCATAACTGCACGTTTGCACATAAAATAAATGTGCATATAATTTTTACATATAACATAAAGGGCCGAATTACTACCGGTCAGTCGGAAACGATCGCGGTGGTCGTATTTAGTCGACAACGACCTGTATCGTTTATGAAAAGTACAATGATCAAGAAGATTAACAAGTTTTCCTTCTTATGCCAAAAGACTGAAATACACTATGTGCTAGAGGCACAATTTGACTATATCAAGTGTTATACATAAAGCCAGGGGGCCACTGAGCCCATTACCCCATAATCCAAATCATTAATGAATCGGAACAGCGACAGAACCAGCTCAGGGGTCAAACTCTTGCTTCACCTCCATGGTCTGAAAGGGCTCATACGAGTTCAGTGACATATGGGTATTTGCTTACGCCTTTTATCTGAGGTCATCGACCAATGTTGAAACCACAGGAAATGTGCAACACTGCACTTGGCCGATCGGTATTGACTTTGCAAACACAATAAGCACCAGGGGGCAGCCTCTCCCCAGTAACCATTTGGAATGCGCGGAATAAAACTGAATGTGTGAAATTATTTGAATAGAGGTGTCCCGTTACCTCAGACCTTCAAGTCTGTGGGATTCCTGGATGAATAATATTTGGCCCTTGTTCTCCACACAAGCGTAAGCGCCATATTGTCTGTCAGAGTTTATCCATTTTAGTAAGGACTAAGTGATACCTGTAAGGGAGGAAACTCCAAAGCACTTTACATGGATTTGGTGTACAAAGATGACGAAATAGAGGAATTATACCTGTGTGGCTTTGCAGACATCTTAAACAAACCAACTTCCTTTTTGTTTTGAGAAAACACAGTCGCCAATCTTCTGATCACAGACACAGTGGTCTGAATCACTGTCACGCCCCGTTCCCCCAGACAGCCCCATGTGGCAAGGTTGTTCGGCTGTGAATATATCGAACAAGACTTCTAATTTGATCTAACAAACTGCGTTATTTTTTTAAAAGGCTAATTACTGTGTACCTTCTGCACAGACTTTAATGTGATGGAAGCTATTTTCCCGTTTTTGTTCTAGTCGGTTTCTGAAAGGTCACTTAATATATTGTCTTTTAATTCCCTGGCTGTCAGTTTGTTCTACGAGCATACAAAACAGCCATCTTCGCTCAATAAACGCGCTTCTCTGAGAAATACAGAATGGCAGAGTGATGTAAACAGCCATTCATTCAAAGGGTCACCACTTGATCCCAAATTTATGATGGGGGTGAGGGGTAAATAGGCAGGAATCTAATTTGAGTTTCTGCCAACTGAATGAAATAATGTTCACAGTATCTCCCCGCAGCTGTTGTGTCTGACAGCTTTATAAAAGTAAAATGGATACATCACCAGAAAAAAAAAACACTTTGCAAACACAGGCAGCAGGACATGGAGAGATTAATATATATTTCAACTGCCTTTGACTGGCACTCAGTAATTATCATGTTGAACAGAATTTTTTCTTGTATGAATACAGCTTTGGAGATGGGTTGTAATTGAAATGTTGTGTTTTCAAACGACTGTTTCTCTTGTGATTTATTACTATAATAGCCTTCATATGACCAGCAAAATTCAGTACAATAATGCAAATTGAACTGTGGGAGCACTGGAGAAAAATGCAGCAATTTAATATTGAGGAAAATTAAATGCACTTAATAACAGCATAATCTGAGCACTTCTGTTTTCTTCCTTTTAATGCTGCTGCCCTGGAGGCCCACAGTAGAGCACATCGGCCTGGTTCTCACTGCGGCTGATCCAGCTGAATATTCTGATCCTGCATGCTGTCCCATGCACGCCCGTCGGGGGTGTCTGGGGTGCCGCCTCTCCTGTACGCAAACCTAACAGTCCGTGGACTCGTTTGATGACACACAAGGAACAACTACAACATCCTGTCCAGCTGTGAGCCTCCTCCTCTCTGTGACGGTGGCTGCCGGCAGGCCGGGGTCCCTTAGCGCATCTTGCCGTTATGAACCCATCTGTCATGACTATGCGAAAGAGGGCCCCCTGCTGAAAGAGGGGCTGGACCGACATAGCCGCCCTTGAATTATTGTGAATGATAATGCTCATAAGGCTGCCCCCCATTAGCCAAATGATGGCCATTTGTCACATACTCCCCTTTAGGTCCTGCCAGAAAGGACAGAAACACAATGACCGTGATTCTGAGGCGCGGCCATGTTTACTACTTTCTGTGCTTTTTTTTAAGCATATATTGCTTTTTCATTAACTCATCTCTCTCTCTTTCTCTCTCTCTCCGTTTCTCTCTCTCTCTCTCTATCTGATAAGAACAAAGTACCAGATGATGATTTTGAGAAAAACAAAGATGAAGACTGAAATTTCTGATTCTTGACAAATCAGCTGTAGGGCAGTTGTTCCAGAAAATAAACCTCAGCTAATATCAAAAAAAGACAATGAGAATATGTATGCATGCATGTAAAAGACTGCTCCTGTCAGATAATACTAAGAAAATGAAAATAAGAATAAAAGACAAAGATAACAAAGGAGGAAGAACATTGATAATGACCTTGGTCATAAAGCTGATTGGCCAACTTTTTCAAGGCACAGAGACCCGCAGAGCTCCGTCGGAGTGCTGGTGAGGGTCCTGGAGGTCAGAGGAGATCCCCACACTCTCCTTTGCCAAATCATGCACATTTTACTGCAACTGAAGAAGATACCCCATAATCCAGAAGAAACTCCAAATGCATTTTCAGAGGAGTACAGCCAGGTGGCAGCACGTCTCTCATTTTAAGGTGTGTGGTCATGTGATCACATCCCCTGAGGTGAGCTGAGTTTCTGCTTTGAAGCAGTTTGAGTTCACAGCTGGGCAGTTGTTAACCCTGGAAGAGTGTGTCCACTCAAGCAACGAAAATACACATCAAACCATCTACTGAAATCCGGAAAACTCGTATTCCATCCATCCATCTTCATACTGCTTATCTCGGACAAACTTATTCCAGGGAGCTCAGGGCAGGGAAAACCTTGGATGGGAAATTTAAAGAACACTGTTATTGGAAACCAGACAACCTGTAGGAAAACTGGAATGAGGATGCAAACTCCACACTACTCAACAGTGTCAAGAACATTGCGGTCCCATATTGAGTCACACTTAACTTAAATGGTGTGGATCTGTGTTCACTGCATATGGGTGAAAAAAGATTTTATTAATAAGAAAAGATTTTACTACTTGAACTCAGCTGTGTAGTTGCAAATATCGAGTCGTGCAAAGCATTTTGTGATCTTTTGAATTAACGGTGCAAAACCCCAAAGACCCTGCTTCAGTTGGCCCCCTGCGAATGTGAAGCATCTGAGCTTTCAGCAGTAATTGGATAATATGGACTTTGAGCCTGTTTGTTTGTGATGCAGCATTTATTTCCATTCTGAATCATGCTAAATTCCCTGGATGCATGACTTCTCCTTCAGCCAGAGGAACTTTTATTTTAATCACAGTGGAAATAAACACTAATCAGAAAAAAGCTAAGGAAGCGGGGATGTGTCAGTGTTTCACAGCTGTGAAGAGCACATCAGCAAAAGAAGGCTCATTTAAATAGGGCCTGTTCAGTCCCCCAGAGAGCTCTGAGTTAGACTGCCTGAAAGGCCGGATGAAAATGCCACACACTGGTTTCCATGGGAACCGAAAGTAAACTTTAATTTGGTGACCAAAGAATAAATTCACTAGTAAATTGAATATGTGAAGACATCAAATTCAATTTGAGGAGTTTTGGATGCTGGACACAGGAGCTACAGGTAGATCTTAGAATAAGAAAAGGTTTGGCTCCTCTCAGCATGCGCACAGCTCATGAATGATACGGCCTCAAAATGTGAAATCCTTCAGAGCTTCCCAGAAGCAGCCTCAAGGTGGCGCCACTGAACTCTGAGAACTAGCTCGCTACAGGGATTTGGCAGCAGAAGCAGTGGGTAGCTAGTAGCGACCCTGTTAAAAGTTTTGAGTCTCTCATATAAGCCTTGTTCATCCTACGGAGGTGGTCTGGCCTGGTGACACGGGGAGAAGTTCTTCAGTTCCCAAATCTCTGAATCTGACAGCTGTGCACAGAGTAACACTTAATTACTGCATCAGATGTTTGAGGTGCTGCCCAGTGCTGCCTCTGCTTAAAGAGGCTTCAGAAAGCATT